TAGTCAATTCATTCTTACCACACATTCTTGCAACCTCAGCATATCATTTTTTTCTTTCCCTATTAAATCAAGAATTTTCCCTTAAAGGAAGCACTTTACAACTTCTCTTGGCACTTTATGACTTCTCTTTCAGAGTAAGGTCAACTATGGTTAAGTGAAAATGCAGTAACTGAACCAGCAGATACAGGGATCCTGCTGTTATGAGAAATTTGTTTCAGTTCATTTTTAATCAGGTTTTACACAGTTTGCACCTTCCAGACAAAACATGGAGTCAGAAACAGTTTGGACTCAAGATACGTACAATTCCAATCCTACAGTATGATTCATGAGCCCCCAAAATGCAAGGGTCAATTTGAAAAATGTGCATATAAAATGTGTGCTTTTGAAAAAAGCACACTAATATGCATTAATCAATGGGAAAAGAATACATGCATTTCAAAGATGCACACAATTGATACATACATTTTGAAAGATACAGATGGATCTTCAAAGCAAAAAGAAAACAAGTGTTGCACCCTGATATCCACTAGAGTTGGCATGAGAATTTGGAAAACTCCCAGTGAGCTTGAGTTTTGCTGATCTGCACATTGTTATCAATCCCACAGAACATAATTATCTTTTCTCTTTGTATATTAAGTTATCCAAGGACTGGAAGCAATCAGCCAAGAAAGCATAATATCACATCTTAGCCAACCACAACAGCTTTAATGGCAAGAGCAGCTCACATGATGTGAACCACTCATGACAGAGCACAGACTATACATGTGGACAAATGCTGTATTTGATGGTATAACCCTCCTCTTGCTATACTGAATATTACTGGTACATGCCAGTAATAAAATAACAAATGGAAACAGGGGTTTTCTTTCCTATTGAGAGGAGTAATACCTGAGTCAGAGTGTTCTGTTCATTTGGGAAATCTTCATCAGAAAGCCCCATTAAAGATACACACTCCTCATTTTCAGTTCGCAAAACTGCACTGAAGCATAAGAGATCGCATGGGCATGTTGTGAACAGAGCCAGCTGGAGTCAGGGGTCAGACTAGATGGCCCGGGAGACCCCTTCTGACTTGCTCTGTTTCTGCGTTTCTATACAGTATAATGATGCAATTGCTTTCATTTGTTTCCACGCTCCCTTTGTGCAAGACAACAGGCCTCCACATAACCAAAAGATAAAAGGGTAGGTTCCTCATGCTGACTTCTTGACGTTCAGGTTCATGGTGGCCTGTAGGTAGTAGGGCTTTTCCTCACCCAATTAGCTGGGCACATGTCCCACAATTCCCTTCAATGACAGGAAGGACTGATAGACAGGAAGGCTCTGAAGTTACTGAGGCAAGGCCTGCTCTTTAACCACACTGTAGCAGCCATGAAAGAAACATTCTCTTCAGAAAGGCACAGCTGAAGCCAAGTGCATAAGACAGCGATTCCAGAGCACTACATGCACAATTCGGAATGCTTTTGCTTATGCTTCACGCACTCCACAGAAAAAGTGAACTCTGAACAATGGCAAACAGAACTTGTTTTCTGTTGAATAATTTTTAAAAGAAAAAGGGAATACATGTTTCAAACATTCCCATAATCCACAGTACAGTAAATACATGCAACTAGGAGTGCTGCTCACTTCCTCCTCCACAAAAATACAATGATAAATCCAAATGGTAGTTCGTGAAGACAATTTAGTTGGGGAGCATTACACACCCACAAATATTTTGGACAGACAGTGCTAAGAAAATAATTATTATTCCTGGCAAGAGTCCATTGCCCACAAAAAGTATATTGAGCTACAAGAAGCAAAGAAAGGGTTCACTTCTTCTGTATTGTGTAGCTATCCCAAACCATAGGAAACTCTCTACAGAGTGGGTACTTGTACATAAGATCACAGAGACCTACAATGGCTATATATAAGCTCACTGCATGTGTGCAATACATACATAGGATACAGTCCACAGAGAAGGTGAGGTGCCAAAACTCTACTGCAACCAATGAGATTCAGTCAGCTGTGAGAGTTACACAACTACTCATCAATTCTGTTTATTTCAGTGAACCAGAGGAATGCCTAATTGACTTTCAATGGTGCTCAAGATACTCTCTGTGGCTACTGTAGCAACAAGATATGCCATTCAGATTTGACCCGAATTGACTCTATAGATGGTGTGCTTCTGAAATTACATGCTAACTTCATTAATAAGACAATTTAATCCCCCCTTATAATTCTGCTTCACAAAGACTTCTTTAAAAAAAAACAATCTGGCTACAATACTTTTATTCCATTTTTGCATTTGTTGATTTACCTATGGGCAGATTACATATATCCTGATCAAGGCATGCCTACTAGTATTCTGAACAAGCAATCTGAGATCATGACAATCCCTTGTAAAACTGATTAATAGGCATTTCAGGGAAAGGAGTGTGTGGCTGCAGCCTGGTGCTTCCCCACTCCACCTGTTCAAGAAAAAAAAAAGGTAGGTCCAAATGCATCAGCATCACTGTCTTTTCAAGACAACTGATAAGCTGCTGGGGTACCCAGGGCACCCTCAAACCAAACACAGACCTGATTTCTATGAAAATCTTTCTCAGCCTGGGGCCTCCAAGATGCCACTGGCTATGCTGGCTGGAAATTATGAGTTGTAGTCAAAGTCACTTTGTGGGAGAAGGCTGCTAAGTACCCTTGGTTCTATACTTGTTTTTGAAATACTGAGACAACAGGAGCTGACCACTAAGTAGGTACTCCATAAGCAGGTGCTGCCTGGGTATGCACAGCCATATCAATTACAGACCTAGACCTAAGTACAACTTTTCCCAGCATCCTAACCTTACAGCATGGGTGGAAAGATATAGGCCAAAACAGCTGGAGAGTCACAGCTCCCATAAGACCTAGTCTGCATCACAAGTGGTGAAGGGCTATGGAAGCTGTAGTCCAAGACTTTTGGAAGGCCCCAGGTTGTTCACATCTGCCCTTACTCAAGTTTCCCTATTAAATTGCCCCAAATGTTTTTTTTAAGACTTTACTATTTAGTTCTCCAGACATTTGGCTGCAACTCAATAAAACCCAAGTAACCCCTTAACCAAGGTAATGGAGCACAAGAAAGTGGAACTCAGAAGGAAACTAGATCTCTGAAAAAGTTACAGTTCTACCTCTACTCTTCAACAGGGAAAAAAGTTCTAGCATAAGAAGGGATGACTATCCAAATCATGCAGCCATCCTGCCTGGGGGATGCTGTGAGTTGCAGGATTTTTTCCTGTCTACAAAGAATGTATTTATTGTTATTTATAGTCTGCCGCTTTTTACCTCCAAGAAGCCCTTTCGACAAGGCCCCAACTCTAGTGGGCCACCTACTAAAACCATTTCTGCAGGCAGCAGCATCAAAATGGAGGGAGCAAAGTCAGCAAGTGAAGCACTGCTCTTCCCCTCCCAAGAGTCAGAAGGCACCTTACGAGGGTACATTATCTGCATGGGAATTCTGGTAGTTACGGTTGAAATGCCTCTGAAGGCGTCCAAGTTAGGGAATACCACTGCACAAGAATGCAAGCATTTTTTCAACTCCTGTGTGCTCTCTATTCCCAGGATGCAATTGTGCTTGTGAAGCTTATTATTAAAATATATGTAAGAGTCCCACATGATAAACCAGCCATATTAGCAAAACCAGTTCGAGCATTTAATGAAATTACGGCCTAAGAAGCATTTACAGCTGTTCCTTTTCAATTATCAGAAACAGACAAGCACACTCACTTCAACAATGATGAATACTTGTTCATCAGCCAAGTCAGCTTCACTGTTCTCAAAACACATGACTGGAGCTATGAGGGCACATGACAAGTTCTTTTAAGAACTGCTGCTCCCAGAAAGACAACAGATTTGGGAAAGCAACTCCAATTGAACTTATATTCCTATCCAAAAAGATTTCCTGCAAATGAGGGCATCATATTAAATATCAGATGTACACAGACACAATATAGGGGATCGAGCCATATTTATCTAACTAGAGTAGATCCAGTGAAGTTTCACCACTGATTTCAATGTGTGTTCTCTAAACATGACTAAATCTGAACCCAACCCATTATTTTTCTTCTCTATCCCAGACCAAAAACCACTCCATTGTCAGTATACCATGAAATCCTCAGGGGCTACTCTTACAAATACAGGTTCACCCATTCTTAGAGTAGTCTCACTGAAATTAATGGGATAAGTTAGTCACAAATAACTTCAACCCTATCCATTTCAAGAGGTCTTCTCCAAGGATGGGTAAGTCTGGACTCAAGTCATGACATTATTTTAAAAGTGTACATGTTTTGCTTTGCTTTAAGCATACCAATAAAAAGGTAAGAATGGAAGTGACAAAGTTAGCATTAGAGAGGGTGTATTAATTATACAGGTTGATGTATCAAAGCTGGGATTAGTTGTAGGATCCTGTGGAAGGTACACTTGGCTGCAGACCCAGGTTTGTTGTTGCCTAACTTATGAAACAACTCTCCATACAGTCTGGTCAAGGACCTTTCCCCTTACTCGCTTAATGGAGGAGTCCCTTTGAATTCCTAAATCGAAGTACATCGGATTAGGAATCCCCGCAAAGCAACTTTTTCTTTCAGTCTCGAACCCTGAAAATTCACCCCATACCAATTACTGTACAAGAGCTCAAAGTAATCCAAAGCTTTGACCCCCAGCTTTCTGGAATTACTCCATATTTGCTAGCGATTTTCAAGAAATGCAAAACTCGGATGCTCCCATCCAACCTTCCCCCCACCCCCCAAAGAAAAACCACTCTGAGACCCAGGAATATCCGAGCAACGTCACAAACTACGGAACTGCATTTACTTCAGGACTGAAGGACTATTTTTCGTACACGAAGCAAAACGAACATACGCATGCATGTCTAACTAGCAGCGAGTCTGGTCGATCGCAATGGATATTACGCTCACATAAATAAATGCGGGTCCAGAAGGGCAAGTCTCCGCCTCTCCCTCAGCGCCTGGAGAGAAAAGGATCTGCCTTCGCCTTCTCACCTGCCGCGGTGTCCTCCGCAGCTCCACTCCTGCAAAGGAGCCCCAACAGCAGGAAGAATCTTCCGAGGAGCCCCATTATGCCAGCAAAAAAGATCCCCAGCCCACCTCTTGTGAGGAGCGGGAGGCAAAACAATGGCTCTCACACACGCACGCGGACACAACACGGACAAGCAGGAGCAAGCACAAAAACTCATCGCTGATCCAGACTCGCCGGCACGCCTCGCCCGACCAGCCTCTCGTTCTTAGAGGTGCAGTTGCGGCGCGCCTCCATTTCTAAACAGGCAGGCAAAGCAGCAGGCACCCACTTCCGCGAATTAACCCTTTGCGCGGCGCCGCAGCCGCACTCTTCAGCGGACTTCGGCGGGACGTGCTGCTTCGTCTGGCTTTCACACGGGCGTATCTCAGTAGGAAGGGCGCGATTCCATGCTTGTTTAGATAGGGCGAAAAAAGCCCTTCAATTCCAAACATGCCGAGCCTGCCAGTAAGTCCAGTTGCCCCCCTGAGGTACGGACGTGTGCGTGTTGTTAGAGGGCTTATGGTAATTAACTAGGCACCTTAGCCATTCAAACCTGTGCACGCAGAAATAAATGGCATTTGTTTAGGAACTTTACTCCATAATTGCGGTAAAAAAGCACATAGTTCCGTGACTGGTACGAATAAGCGTGCAAAGAATCGCAGTCTTGGATTTTTCTGCACTTGGAATAATTGTCCATGTTCAACAGGTGAAGCATTCCCTATCCTCCTTCATGTAACTATAACCGAGGAAGCTGCACCTGTCATACTGTGTGCAAAATATCGGTAAAGGGGGCTGGGGGGAATGCGTGCTGTGGCTATTAAAATATTTTTCGCAGCGTTACGTAATAAATGCCGCTGAGTTCAATGGACCTTCTTCCCAAGGAATGGTGCAAAGGTTCTAACCACGTACATTTCCTCGGAAACCAGTTCCACTGCGCACAGCACGCATTACTCCCAAGTAAATTCCCGCAGGGCTTTGCCATCCTCGGTCGCTCCACCTGCACTTCCTACACTATATCGCTATTTTCACTCGAGAACACTCTCGCTTAGTAAAGATAGAACGGCAATGTCGTCTCCCTTCCAACAGAGGGAACATCAAGAAGATTCTCTTAATACCATTGATCATGGAGATTGGAAAAGACTGATCTTTTAATCAAAAGTCTATGGTCCCAGTGACGTACGAATCGGCCCGGAAGGAAAAATTCCTGAGGCGTTGCTTAGCAACCTTATTTTCCGCTTCTTCTCCAGGTTGGTTCAGCTTGAGTCATTTCATTGGCCGGTTGCTGTAGCCTGTGGGGTGAGGAGCGAAGCTGCTCTCCTAGGAAGTCGCTATAATGGCGGACCGCCTAACGCAGCTGCAGGACGCGGTGAATTCGGTGAGTTAGAGAGAGGCGATTCGTGGTCTTTGGACGAGGAAAGCTTTACGTACTTTCTCCCCCGGTGTTGCTGGCATGTGGAGATGTATTTTGGCCTTTCCTTATGGCCTATTAGTTGGAAGGAGGGGAGGGAAGCAGATAATTGCGGAAAAGGCTGCTGCCTCGATCTAGAGCTGCTTAGTGGGTGTGATGGACGCCTTTCTTGCTGGGTCACACTAAGGGGCTGTCTGGCTCAGTATCCTGTTTCCAAGGATGAGGAAGTTATTTATTTATATCCCGCCTTTTTCTGTCAAAGAACTCAAAGCGGTTTACATCATTTTTTCCCTCCTGTTCTCAGTCTTGCCTTATCCCCACAGCAGCAACTCTGTGAGATAGGTTGGGCTTGAGACTCTGGGACTGACCCAGAGTCACCCAGTTGGCTGCAAGGCTGAGTGGAGACTAGAACCCAGATTGCCTGAGATCCAGTCCCGTGCTCTTAGTCACTACACCACACTGGCTCTCACAGTGTTAACAGGTTATGACATCCATGGTTTGATCCCCATATCTGGTTTTCAGAGTGTTTCCTTCCCCTGAGTGTAAAAGTTGTATTTCAGCCGTCCCCCAACTTGGTGCTCTGCAAAAGTGTTGGACTACACCTCCTGTAATCCCTAGCTATGCTGGAATGGAATGCTTGGTTAGAAGTAGAATATTCAGTGGTAAAAAGAAATGACTATTTCCCTCTCCTTTTGATTTTTATTTTGTGACATTAGGTCATAGGCTCTCCTCCCGATGTGTAATTAAAGGGATTGTTAAAGTTACTATTACAATTGCCTTCCTATAGCTCTGTTCTTGAACTGCACTTTGCTCTGTCTCCCCTCTCCCTTACAAATGTTTTCCCATATTTTGAATTACAATATTTACTTATTATATCTATGTTCCATCTTTTCCCTAAAGAAACTCAAGGCATCTTATTTAATCTTGCTTCTTGCCACATTACACCACAACAATCCTGTGAGGTAGATTAGACTCATAGAATAATAGAATAGAAGAGTTGGAAGGAGCCATGAAGGCCATCGAGTCCAACCCCCTGCTGTTGCAGGACACTACATTACACCATCCCACTCAGATTCAGGTTCTTTTTGAATGACTGAGAGTGACTGGCCAAAAGTCACATAGTGAACTTTATGGTTGAGTGGAAAAAAAATACCAGCTCTCTAACCACATTCTAATACCCATACTTTCAGTACCTTGGTATGCTTTATGGTTGGTATTTTCTTTGTGCTGCAGATTTTTGCAGTGTGTGCTAAGGAAAGCTTTGAAGTTAGTTAGCTTGATAAATGGAAAGCTGGATCCATTGCCTGTTGTTCGTATTTAGAGTTGCTTTTCATTAGAATTGTGGAGAACTGTAGAAGGGGCACATACATGGAATAACTGACAAAAGCCTTTGGGAAGTTTTTAAATGTGTTTCCCAAGAGTTAATAGCCACAGTGTTGCTGTCTTGTAGCTATAATCTTGTAAACTAATCAATATATATTTGTAGCTTGCAGATCAATTTTGTAATGCTATTGGAGTATTGCAACAGTGTGCCCCACCTGCATCCTTCAGTAATATACAAACTGCAATAAACAAAGATCAACCGGCTAATCCTACAGAAGGTAAGTACATTATTATTTTAGGGACAAGGAAAGAGAATTTGGAATACCACTAACCTAAAGAATCAAATATGGATTAAATGTCATAATGTAAAAAACGAATCTGGATTTATAGACCATATTAGACTTGTTGCTAAATGCCTAATTTTCTCCTGATTTGGCTGTCTTGACTCTGACCCAAAGTCTGAATTTCCTATGCTTGCTTGCTGGAAGGTTTTCAGAATTCTGGAATCTGGTGTTTGTTCTATTGTGGTCTATTGTGGTCTAAATACACAAGGTCTATTGTGTATTTAATCAAAACTTGTTTTTAAATTGACGATGAAGTTTACAAAAAGTTATGATTCTGTGGCTTTCTGGAAAATTATTGCTTCAGCACTAGATAGTGAAATTATGGGTTGTGAAATTAACAATTGAATTTAGAAGTTGCTGTTGATAGCCTTAATTGAGGTAGTTCAAATGTTGAAAAGCATCTTTCTGAACTATCTTTTAGTTATTGTTAAGTCAGAATGGATTGTGTAAATTGGTTGCTCAACCATGTTACTCAATTGGTGATTGTTGTCAGAGTAGGGAATTCCAGAGATGCACTGCAAAATCTTTCCAATAATTCCATTTCATTTCTCCATTTTATGTATTTTATGACAGTACGTGTTGTATTAAATGTTCTTGTGCATCTTGAAGATACAATTTTTCTAAAACATTAGTTTAATTACTAGCCTTGTTTACTGCTCATTAATAATAGTAGAGACAGTACAACTTAAATTGTGTTGCTTTTACAGAATATGCACAGTTGTTTGCTGCACTAATTGCAAGAACTGCTAAGGATATTGATGTTTTAATAGATTCTTTACCCAGTGAAGAATCAACAGCCACATTACAGGTAAGAATGCAATTTGTCAGAGCTGATTTGTGTGGCTTATGGTCTGTAAAAATAGCTAATGCTTGTTCATGTTCTTAATTTCAAGTACTGTGCCCTGCTTTTGTGTTAAAAGGAGAGGTGATATAAGCACTTCAAAATGCCTTGGGAACACTCTTTTTAAAAAAAAAAAATTGGTACTTGCAGTGCACTGTTTCCTTAAAAAAATCAAACTATTGCAATTAACAGGTTGCCTAATTAATAATGCCAGCCAAGGTACTATTGTTTGACTAGCTACAGCAGATTGTTGAAACAAAGTGAAAAGGTACTAAGAATATCAAACAACTGGAAAAGTCCCAATAATGTGCTCTAGTCCTTTAAGCTCTACTCTAGGTTCTGCTTTAAATATCTTGGTCTGGCCAACAATGTGACTTTCATGTTCTGGACCAGTTGAACTTTCTGGACATTCTTCAAAGGTAGTTAGATGTACATTATCATAGTCCAGGTGTGATGTAATTAATACATACATCACCAGTTCAGCATTTTCCAGAGATGGGTGCAACTGTTGCACTGAGCTAAATTGAGCAAAAGCTGTCAGCTCAAGGCTAGTTTCAGGTGCATCTCATACTGCAAACCTGATCTTTCAAATGGAGTGCTATTCCATCCAGGACAGGCTAACTGAATACTCACTTCAGTGGCCTTGCCAACCAGGATCACTTCTGCCTTCTCTAGTTTCAGCTTTAGTTTGCCCCTGTTTCAATTCATTATTTGCTCATGCATTGAAATGTACATAGTCTTTCAGAATAAAGATGGAAGAAGAGAATTGGGTGTAATCTACGTATTACTGACACTACACTCCAAACACCTGGGTAGTCTCCAAGCTGTTTCATGTGATGTTAAACAGCATGGCTGTCAATAAATTGTATACCCAGTAGAGACAAAGCAACCAAACAGACATTTTCCAGCACCACCTCCCGAAACCAGGTACTCAGTGACTACTTGTACAACAGTGCTCCCAAACTCTGGCCTAGCCAAGTGGTCCACAATGATTCTGTGGTTGATGGTATCAAAACTCCCTTGAACTGTCCAGCAGAACCAACAAGAAAACATATCTAGTTCCACTGTATAATATCCCCTTAAGCAATCAAAGCTGTTTGTTCCATAACCACACTAAAGCCAGACTGAAATGGAGCTGGATAATTTGAAAAATCTAAGAAAACTCGGGAGTTCAGAGGACACCATATGCTTGAGTATCTTGATCAGGAAGGGGCATTGAAGAACCAAGAACCAGCTTAAATTTCCTGGCCCTCATCCAGCCCAGCACTGAGTCTAGGCACTGATCCAGGCCTTGCACTGTCTCACTCTTGTGTTTCCTGTTAGATTTTGCAAGAATATTATATACAATAAATGAAACTAGTTAATATGGAAGTCCTCAATATGGAGAGCAGGTGTGGTAGTTAGATTTCTTGGGTCTCCAGTCCAATGCTCTCCCCACTCAGCCATGAAGTCAGCCTAACCTACAGCACAGGGTTCTTGTTGTGAGGATAAAATGGGATGGAGGAGGACTTTATAACCTGCCTCAGGATCCTTGCAAGGGGAAAAAGTGGGATATAAATGCAATGCAATAATAACTTTATTATGCCACTTAAATACGCAATAACATTCAGTAATGCAAAGTCTTGTATGATGTTGGATATTCACAGGATAAAATGAAGAGGGGTGCAGTTCTAATCTTTAGAAGGAAAATGTCATATCTAATTTCATTTTAGAGTACAAATCTGCTGTTCCTTTTTCCACTTGGTCAAATCTATAGGCTGCTAGTCTGTATCGCTTGGAAGAAGAAAACCATGAGGCAGCTGCACGTCTAGAAGAGGTGGTTTTTCGTGGGGATATGCTTCTGGAAAAGATACAGAGTGCTTTAGCAGACATTGCTCAATCGCAGCTGAAGACAAGAAGTGGCAGTCATAGTCAGCCTGTTCCAGACTAACAGCAGCAAGTGTGAGGACTTGAGCACAAGATTTGAACTTCTGTAAAATGGGGTTGTGGGCGTGGATAGAAGACTGAAGCTGTACTTCACTGCTGAGCCTTAATCCTAGAGAGCCACCTGTGGTTCCGTGCTTATGGGAAAAGGCATGCCTGTTGACATAGTCGTCATCCTTTTGTATGATGCTGTGCTAATATGAGAAGCAATTGGAATGTTGCTGCAACTTTAGTTTGTTATGTCAAATTCTGTGCTTTGATTGGTACTGTGTCAGTAAGTTAGAATATCTGATTTCATCCATTAGACAGCATTGCCTAGTCACAACAAATATAGTTGAAGTAAGGCATGCGTGTGCGAGTGGCCCATTTAACGATGTACACATGTAATGAGTGGGAGTGCTTTCTGTACAGGAAATGAATTGCATGTGAAATGCCACTGACCTTGCCTCTCAACATGCTCCCAGGATTTGTTTTGTATTGAATAGAGGCCTTCTGTGCTTTTTTTAAAATGGAAATTTATACTTGGATTTTACTTCTTGTGGAAGATTTCAGGATGCTATTTGCAAGTAGAAGAGCAAAGCAAAAGCATCACAGAAGCAGTTGAACCACTGACAACCTGTAAACATCTGCATCTAAGAGTGGATACATGTTGTTCCACAACACTGCATATGCTTATAGGCATGATAGGCTGATGTACTTTAGGGAAGGAAAGGATGCAGAAGGGAAAACGGTATGGGAAAACCAGGGTACTGCCTTTCTCTGTTCCCCAGCATGTAACTTTGGCTAAATGCAGAAATACTGTTGGAAGCTCACTCTTGCAAGTATCCACAATCTAAGCCAAGACAGTTCTGAGAACATAAAGCGCAGATAATCTTAGCACTGGCTGTAGCCTTAAGTAAAAATAGACTTCTTAAAGTACAGTTTAAGCTGTAAGATATGCAAGAGAAGCAAAACGTATCTGCATTAAAGCTATACTTGCCAAGTAATTGCTTTTCTCTCTCCCTGGTTCTCTTCCTAGAATTGTAAGACAAATCATATTTAGATTCAAACTTATTTTATTTCTACTATTTTCTTGGTTCTGTAAAAATACAAAAGTATACTGAAACTGAAGTGTTTGTTTCTTTCATGCATTTATATAGTAACAAATTGGTTTTCTTGGCACATAACAAGGTTATCAATCAAAATGGTACAAAATTGCAATAAAAACCAATTAAAATAGAAGCACATTTTTTAAAAATTAAGGGTAGAAACATAGGACTTTCTTTCTGTCTAAATATGCATGCAACTTCCAGCGATCTCAGACTGTCATGACTATTTTGTCAGACTAGAGGATTGTGCCCTACAGCAATAAAATTTCAATCCCCTTCAAACAGCCCCTCCACTCAGTGCACTTAAATCTCTGAACTTTTGAAGACACATGCATCCAGTGGCTGGAGTGAGGTATAGCCACAGCAACCTCCAATGCTGCCACTTTCTCCTGTTCATTTTATAGAGATGGCCATTTCTACATAAAGTGTCAAGGAGCAAAAGAGTCTGTGGTGCCGATAAGAATTACATGAAAATGGCTCTAGCCTCCTCTCTCTGTCTCACAGTTCCTTTCAAGAGGAAGAAAGGCAGAGTATAAATATAATAACAGCACACTCCAAGAAGCAGGCAGCACAATTCTTTCTACAGCAGCTATGAGGGGAGCAGGGTGGCGAAAGGTTAAACCTTGGCCTTTGGACGCCCAGTACTGAGGTCACAAGACTTCAGTTCTGGGATGCTGAAAAATTCTGTGGACCAATAGGCTAGTGAAGTTAGAAATAGCAGATCTTGAAGATGGGATACACAACCTCTTACAGGTCAAAGACTCAGTTAAAAAGGTATTGATATCAGATAATCATGCATTAAGAGATGGCCTAATAAAAATTTGGTATTCCATGAGAAAAAAATTAGTACTGCAGTCTCCTCTGATGTTCTCAGTTGAAGCATACAGAAAATGTTTAAGGAAAAATAATGATTTTTTAATTTATGGGGATGTGATTGACCAGCAAGGAGGAGTCAAATCTTGCCAACAACTAAAAGATGAAGGAAAAAATATACAATGGTTTATCACCAACTGGTTTCAAGATTGAAAGGGAAAATACAATTGGGGAAGGGTACTGTAAGGAATTTGACAAGATTTTTGAAAAGTTGATTACACAACAAAATGATCATTTATTAGGAAGACTTTACTGTTACTATAGCATGGCAATGAAAATCCACAAGTCAAGAAATGTATGACAATTTGGAAGCAAAACCTTGGAGAAGAACTAGCACCTTGTCAATGCGAAGCTTTATGGAAGAAAGACATTAAACTCACAGCTAGCCAGACACTAAGATAAACTTGGTATAAGATGCTTTACTGGTGGTATGTTACTCCAGAATACATAGAATAGATAAGAACTACAATGGAAAATAATGGAAATGTGGATAGAACTTCTACCATATGTAGTGGACTAGTGAAACAGTTAAAAGATTTTGGAAATTGATACATGTAGAAATAAAAAAAAAAACCCTCTTTAAAACTGAGTTTCCTATGAGTCCTAAGAATATGCTTTAATAATGCCAAATATTTTATTTATTAAAAGCTTTTCTAACCTGTCCACTACAAACATCTCAGTATGGCAAGATTTTATCCAAGAAATTTGAGATTTTCTCAAAGAATACATCAGAGGAATTTAAATATATGACAACTGCCGCAGGAATTACAATTGCCTCTAAATAGAAAACACCAGAATCCCCAACAATTGAAGATTGGAAAAATAAGTTGGCAGAGTACACAGTGATGACAAAATTAACTAATTGTGTAAATAGAAAACTGATTGAAGAATTTAATGAGAAAAGGAAATTCTATTATACCCAGTAGAATTAATAGGATGTAAAAGGAAGCTCTATAAAAAGTAGGTAATGATTTATAATTGATTTGAAGCCATTGGAAAATTTGTCCATATACAGAATAATAATTCCCCTTTTTCTAAACTTCCATAGAGTACTAAATGAATGATAGATATTTTCTGTCTCTTTGAAATTTGTGGGCTTGAATGTATTGGTTATACTTGTTCAAAATCCCTTTAATGTACATACAGATACAGATACATACCATTCTTTTTTCTATATTCTTTTTGTGTCAAGAAAATAATAAAAATAATATTTAAAAAACACTCTGTGGGTCCTGCTCCCTGTCAGAGCTGCAAGGCTGTAACATTGCATCCTAAAACAAATAGCTTTAAAAGGTATGCTACTGAAGAGCAAAAATAAGCACCAGACAGGCCTCACTGGGAAGGGAACTCAAGGGGGCACCACTCTGCCATCACCACCTAGATATTGTGGTACCTGAAAGAGAACCCCTGTTGCTTCATTTGGGGTTGCTTGGTGTGGAAATAAGCATCCTTTCAGGTAACCTGGTTATGCTATGAAAGCTTCCATGAATACATAAAATGCACAAACCAAAAATGCTTTGCCTATGCCTTATATACATGCATATTTTGTTGTGCCATAGTTGTGCCAGTAACTGATTAGTGTTACTGATTTTCAGGGAAGGAAATGTTGCGAATTCTTCAGCATTTAAGTAGGCTGCCGGAAGTTCTGGAAAATCAATCAAATGTAAAATCAAGGTTCAGCTCATGTGCTAGAATCTCTCTCCCTCTCTCCCTCTCTCTCTCTCTCTCTCTCTCTCTCTCTCTCTCTCTCTCTCTCTCTCTCTCTCTCTCTCTCAATTCCCCTGTGTCTTTGTGTATAAGAACATTTTGCTCCATGATCTTACCTACATCATGTATGACTTATTGCAATAGCTTTGTAGTTCTGACAAATTTAAGAAACTGGCAACTGGAAAACATTGCTTTTGTATCTCCCATAATTTTAGATTTTAATCCCATTCCATAACTTCATCTGTTAACTGATTCAAATAATAACATCCTGAAACTAGCTGCCTATTTTTCTTGTTTCCTGATTGGGCTTAAACTCTTCTCATCTGTTAGCATTTTACAACTTCAGTTAGAATCCATTGATCTATTTCTTTTGTTTCTCTTTGCTAAAGATGTACTCACCCATTTGCCTATTCACCAATCTCACGTAGCCAACCTTGGACTTCCTTCACAAAATCTTTATCCACATTAAACATAAATCTCTCCGCCTTGGAAAAAGAAAAAATAACAAGTGTGGCATTCGTACTAGGTAATGCTTTCTGTCATATCTTGTTAATGATGAATGATAAAGCTTGGTTGTAGCTTTAGGAACAACAATGAAGCTTCTTCTAAGAGGAGCTTTGGCCTGCTGCTGTACAGCAACTGCCAAGTTGCACAGACTTTCCCACACCTTGTCAAAAAAGGGCATACATTCCCATAGTTTTCAAACAATGAAATCAAGAAAATTAAACCGCAATTCATTGTAATAAATTATATATTGGCATTAGTGTTAAAATAAACATACACAAGCAAACAGGAAAAGAACTGAATGTAGTAGATGACAGGAGAAACACAATTCTCAGAAGAGTACAACTTTATTTTGGAAAAGAGGTTTGCTTCCTCGGAGGCATTCAAGAACCTGCTACATTAAACTCCTTAGCTCTTTCATTACAGTTTTTATTATGTCATGAAAGCCCTAAAGAGTTTTAATTTGTAGATTGCCAACAGCGCCTGAAGAAGGGGCATTTTGTTTTCTGAAATGTGTCAGCGCTAAAGAAATTCAGACACTTTTGAGGACTGCTTCTTACCCAATCCTAGTGCCAGGGTCTCCCAACATGGTGCCTAGACAAAAAGGACCATATGAGTCCTTCAGGAGAACTGAATGAGCCACGTCTGCTCAGGACCTTTCTGTAATTTCAGGATTTCCAGGCTAACAGACTCTATGCATGTTGACCTAAAATGAGTTCTATAGAATTCAATGGGATTTACTCCCAAGTAAGACTCCAGGCCCTGATGAACTCCATCCCAGAGTCACAAAAGAGCTAGCGGAGGATCTCTCAGAACCAACGGGCTATTACCGTTGATAAATCTTGGAGAAGTGCCATATGACTGGAGAAGGCTAACATTGTCCCTGCCTTCAAAATAGGACAATAAATGAACCTGGGAACTACAGACTAGTTAGTCTGACATCAATCCCTGGAAAAATTCTGGAGAAAATTATTAAAAAATCCATCTGCAAGCATCTAGAAGAAATTGCTGTGATTAATAGAAGCCAACATGGATTTATCAAAAACAAATCCTGTCAGACCAATTTAATTTCATTTTTAACTGCAGCTAATCTTAACTAAGGTTTACAGATTATCAAAACAAGGCTGCTCTGTCAACTGTGGGTTGAAGTCAGTTTGTTTCAACAATAGCTGAAATTAATTAATTTAATTTCCATATTTAATCTAAAATGGAAGTGAAAACTTCTGAACTTCTCATGCCCCCCACCCCTGCCAGAGGAGTTGGAGCATGTAAGCTCTCTTAGAAATGGCTTTAATAAAGTCAGTCTATGCTTTAGTTTTATTTCTGAATGAGGCCAGAATGAAAAATGACATAAGATCTTCCATAGTCTTACCTGCCCTGATATGGCAACGTTGTACCGCATCAATGTGGCAAAGTGCTCACAGTTAGCTGTCCTAGGATCATACTTCATAACCTTGTCCACCATGTGCATTGCCCTTCTTACCACTTGATCTGCAGGCAGTGGAGGATAATCCTTATCGAACTTATTGTATACGGCAAAAGTCAGTACCGATTGTACATCCTTCACTTTTTCTTTTCGGACTTTGAACTTCACCGACTTAAGGGTAACAGCTGAAAATAAAACATGCAAGACATTTTAGGGCACAATTCCATTTCACATTCTGCTTTGGGGCAAAATGTCAATTATCACACGCACATACATGCTACCTTATTACAGAGAACCACATATGATCACCTGCAGCCTTCAGTGAACTGTTACAATTTAACAGCCATGGCCCATCTTACAGACTGACAAATTTATTGAGGCCTAAGCTTTGCAGACTATGTTTCTTCCAACAAACTCCACAAAAGCTCATGCAGAATGAATTTATTAATGTTTAAGGTGCCACAAAACTCTCAGTCACATCATTGTTTCGGCTGCAATAGATTAACATTGACTTCCCCTTTGGAAATTGTGACAATATAGTAATTCCTCTTCTGCCTGCTATTTCTCCATGTAAGATTTGTCCACGAAGCTGAATTTATTTTAAATAAAATCCAAGCACTAACTGGTTATCGGATTTTCAGTCCATTTGATTACTTCCTTTATAGCCGCATGATTTTTTGCACATGTCTGTCTGTCTGTCTGCCTATCCTTTCTCTCACACATATTACCTGATGATGTGAAATGGACCACATCCCCATTTCCTACATAGATGCCCCAGTGCTGGAATCCTGGCATCTGAAACTGAATCATGTCCCCAGGTTTTGGATCATCCTTATTCTGAAATACGTGACAGACATCATCCTTTATGCCCTCAACTGCATCCTGTATCCAAATAAGAGAGAGGAAATAATGGTTAAAACAGAGAAAAATAGCAAAACTATTTGATGTACTAGACTTGGGAGGGCTGTGCTAATAATGTCTGAACATGAATCCCTGGAATTTCTCTTGCACCTGCTTAAGTGGCACATGGACAAGGGCTGGCCCTCCAATGAGTTCACCTCAGGACCCCACTGCTGTCTTCCTTAAGCTGATGCCCTCTAGATGATTTGAACTACAACTCTCAACACATCAGCCCAAAGGAAAGGCACTGCCTGTCACACGAAAGCAGGAGAAAAGGCATTCCACAACACTCCATTCCATGTCAATCATTGCTATCATTTTAAAAAGCAGAGTAGAAAATCATGGGGAAATATAGAAGCAATCTTATGGCCCCTAGAAGAGCATCTGAGGGGCCAGAAGAAAGTTCAGATTTCCAGATCCAAGGCCAACAACAGTGCTCTGAGCTTGGAAATGGGAATTGGAGCGCTGATCCAGTCCCTCCACTCCTTTGCAGCCAAGTCCCTGACCTCATGTGTCTTTGATATAACCTACCTCTGGGATTCTGATCCAGCAATGCCATCTATATTATGGCTTGTGAGTGGTGATCCTGCACTTCTGAAATCTGCCTTTATTAATATTTTTATTGTTGTTATTGTAAGTTTCAAAAATCCAAACAAAAACTAAAATAACAAACAGAAGTTAAAAAGTGCTACAATTTTTTACGTGAAATTTTAGAGAACTGTTAAAATATATGTGTATACCAATGTAACTTTATTTTATTAATAGAAAAGTTGTTATTATTCCCAGAGATAGTTATGCATAGACTTGAACAAAATAGCCTAGATGTCCACCTATTTTTTCATTTGGGAATTACCCCAATTATAAAATTGAAAGCATCAATAAATCTTCAACCTATTGTGACTGTTTGTCCTTCCAGTGTTTACATTACTCTTTTCTGGCTGCAGGTCTTATGGGTATTACAGGTATTTAATAGCATTTTTATCAGACATTTATTTATTGCTGATCTATTGTATTTTTCATAATTTTTATTGTTTTATGCTGCGTTGAGAGAGTTCCACCCTTAAAAGCAACCTAAAAATAATACTAACCAAATAAATAAATAAATGCAATATCTGAAGAAAGTTTAAGTCTGAGATATGAGCTATGAATTACTCACCACAATTTGCATAATATAGTTCATTTTGGGGTTTCTCCTTTGTGACTCCTGAAATGACTAATGTTTTGCTGTAAACTAGATTGTACTTGATGTTTTCCCTTCAAAGAAAATGGAGAAATTCCTGAAATTCCTTAAGAATGCAGTAGCTCAAACTGAGCAAAAGTTCATTTAGCCCAGCATCCAGTTTCCAACAGCAGCTGGTTCAAGGTTTTCAGGCACCCTGTAAATGGATCATACATATAACAGCCTAACATAGTTGTTTGTGCTCACCTACTGATATTTAGAGATAAACTGCCTCTGAACAAGGAGGTTCCATTTAGCTTGTATGGCTACTAGCTGTTGAGAAGCTGACTCTAAAGACAAATCTTTGATCCATCAAGCCTTATAAAGCCCTAGCTTCAAAGCATCTTCTTAGTCTGAAGGACGTGTCTCTACGTTCTAGTATGAGGACCCTACCTAGCTCCTTTTCCCATTAGCTATCTTGGAACTTGACCTCTGTCTGCCTTTATTTAAATTCCTGATTTGGACCCTTTTCATGATTTAGATCTTCACTTCTTCCTGACCCCAAAGAGACACCTGGCCCAGCCCCATGATTGTAGTTTTGCTGCTATAGAACCAAATCCCCTGGCCCTTAGATGTACATTCATCTGGGGTGCCTTTTTAAGAGCTCTGAGTCTTTGTGATTTGAATGGCATTCCTGGTTATTGTTTGGTGAGAGGCAATTTTTTGCTTTTTCTGTTTTGATTATGGCTCTTAGCTGCATTGAGGGTTTAATCTGGGGCAAAGGAGAAGAACATAAAAGCACAAAGCAATCAATGAAGGAGCATATCACCTTGCAAGCTAAATTCAGCTTCTAGGACTTTTCAATTATATGTACGAATTTTATTGGTGCCAATATGCATCCTGAACACCAACATGCCTCTTGCAATACCTACCAGCCTAACTATTGCAGGGTACAGTATCTACAATCTTTGTATCAAACTGGCCATAACAGACAATTTGCACATGTATTTGTTAATTATCTTGCAGTGCAATCCTGTGTACATCTCCAGGGAAGTAACTCCCATGAAGTTGATTGCATCTTACTCCTAGGTAACTGTGCATGGGATAGCAGGTTTAATTCCTGAAGCTGTATTCTTGAGGTGAAGATGTAGCTTTGATATGAATGGATATTCATTTATTTTCGACAAAAGCCAAACCTCTTTACAATGGCTGCACAACAGCAAAGGCAGCCCCCAGGGAAACAAAAACAAAAACTAGCAGTTAGTAAATAAAATTAAGCAGTAACAGGAGCAAGTGCTCATTTAAAGAGAAACATTTTCAAATGCCATCAGAAGACAGGTAAAGAGGAAGATGGCCTCACCTCCTGGGAAGTAATTCCACAGATAAGGTGTTTGCTTCCAGCCATGTCTCTAAAGCCAATGCTCCCTGTAAGAGCTGACCTTGAACAATGGGCAGGCACACATGAGAGGAATCAGTCCTCTAGTTGCCTCTCCACAGATGGTTTGGACCACAGCTCCCAGCATTCCCAGCTACTGCCTGTGTTGGCTGGGGCTGAAGGGAGCCAGAGTCCAAAACATCTGGAGTGCACCAGGTTAGAGAAGGCTCCTCAAAAGTGCCATTCCCCCTTTCTCCAGAGTCAAAACCCTTCTCCATGAGAAGAGAATACTGGGTGCATGGGAGCAGAATGTCTCCACCACATCCCTGAAGGGTTCTTCTAACTTCTTCCAGATTTTCCAGGTCAGCCACCTTGGCTTCAGAGGAATGACTTAGCTTCCTAAGAGCCAGGTTCCCTGAGCACAAAACCTAGTAGGCAGATGGTCATCCATGGGGAGCTGGATCCATGCAAACCACTGGATAGCAAACCCCCTCTCCCTGTTTTGACTCAATGTCTTTTTTTCTTGCATAAGTTTCTTGCATAAATGTTTGCGATGAAGTAATTTTTCAAAGCAACCTTTTGTGCTTTAAAGACAGGTTTATCTGCTTTCCATGAGGGAGGAAAGCTGCTTTTCCCTAGTCTCTCCTCCCTTCACCCCTTTTCCAAAGTCACCCATACACCTAACTTGACAGACCACTTACCTCTTTCTTGCTGCTTTGTTGCTTGGGCTAAGATGTTTTGTTACTGAAGCTCCCTAAGTTTACAGAAGGGAAGTGCCCTTACAAACCACCCTTTAAGAAAGTTGAGTTTGCTTCACCACATTGGCTGCTGCTGTACCTGATCGAGCAAAGGGCTTTGCTGAAGAAAGGGTTGTAAACTCTTTTACAGCCTGATCTGTTCAGCCAAATGGTTACTTATTGTCAGATCAAGTGACTACAATTACAATAAATGTTTTCTTTTTCCTGTAAGAGACCAAATACCAGGAACTGCTGCAGTTGTTTATGAAGATCATAATGCACTTTTGCTTTCTTCCAGTTGTGACAGACAAGTTTTCAAGGCTTCAGCACTAAAACAGGGTATGAACTTGATCTTTACTCTCAACAAAAGCTTTCGCTTCCATCTGTGTTGAGAAAATATTCCCCACTTGTTCACTGCCTGAGAGGACTCAATCCCCAATCCCAACCATTTTAGGGAGACACAAAAAAGAGACACCAACTGACTGACTGGTCCAAGAGACTTAATAAGAGCAAGCTGCAGCGTGGGTGGAAACCTTGACTCATTCCACATCCAGTCCTCATGATCCCCATCAGTTATACTTTCCTGTCCCTTAGAGGCATACAACTAAATAGCCAATCAGCAAGTTTCACATTCTACCCCATCTATCTGTTCAGTCCAGGGACTGTCTAACACAGTGCTTTCCTAATATGGCTTTGATATGCACCTTCCAAGACCTAGTGATAAGAGCATTCTAGGATGCGTACCTATCCTACCTCCTAAAGGCAACGGCTAACTAAGTACATCTCTAAGTGACATATTTGGTGCAACACTTGTGTGTGAGAAAAAAGTATATAGTGTGACTTTTATATATATATAAAAAGTCTATAGTATAGTCTATACTATACACTCTATAGTATATAGAGTGACTTTTTTATATTTTTAGAATTCCAAGCTAAACAATGCACTTCATTTCCAAGAAATCATGCATTTTCATTCTGATGACAAGCAAAACTGAAACTTTTCCATCTCCTTCTGTGAGGTCAGGTTCAGTTCAGGGTATGGCCAGTTCTGCCTGGCATTTGTCCTTGAAAAACACATATCCTGTTTAAAGGCACAATGGATAAGAAATGTGGGGACGTTAGACCTTTTTCTGTCTAAACTTGCGTGAAAATCTGTAAAATCAACTAGCCTTTAGTTCAAGTTGAAGATGCATTAAGTAAATCTGCATATTGTGAACTCCCAACGGAGGTGCCTGTTGAACCTACCAAAAGAACAGGCAGGGCAGTAGTGTAAAACAAAATGTCAAAATATCTGCGATGTTGGAATTATAGAGCAAGAGAAAAAGCTTTTTTTTCCTGTTTTTTTTTCTGTATTTAATGAAACTACTGAGGAACACTGTGAAAGAGACTGTCTTTCTGACCTCATAGACAAGTTGCATGAGAAAGAGAAGCCTCAGTCCCTCTCCAGTCACCTCCACAGTGCTCTTCTCATTTGGGGAAAAGCAGGCTGGAGTGGCTCCTTCCGTGTTCTTCAGCCGCAGGGCTGGCACGAAGATTGCTAAACCGGCATCTGCTCACATTCCAGCACAGGCCCCTTGCGGCTCCTTGGTCTTGCTGCTGTTATTCTTTATGTTTCTCCTTTTCAGCTCCCCTCTCCAAGCAAGTGGGCTGGTGCCATTTCTGGGCAGGTTGGCATATCACTCTAAAGCACTCTGGCAATAAGCTGATTGTTCCAAGAATAACCCACGTTGCACCTGATAGATGACTAGGTTCCCTGTGGATTGTTCATCTCCACAGTCCTGTGGATGCCACGACAGGATCAACTTGTGTAAACTGTCTTTGGCCTGCTGCAGTTTTCTTCTCCTTTACCTCCCCCTCCCCATGTTTATTCCCTGCAGATTACAAATTCTGGCTTGGCAGATTGTTTTTGCAATCCCCTTTTCAACGGACCCTGCAAAATGTCTGAAAGGCACTTCGGAGGGGCAGTCATGGTCAGTAAACATTGTTAACATCTTTTTTGCATACATAAAATGCACACCAATGTTCATTCATTCATTCATTCCTTTTAAATTAGCCACACTTGCAGGTTTAGATGGGCACATATGATAATATATGCCCCAATCAAATTTTTTTCTTAAAAAGCCCAGTCAAGATTCCTCTGTCATATGGATTTAGTTTGTTAATCTCTTCCTCCGATTAATATGAGTTGTGTTAGATCTTGCATGAAACAGGCCAAAACAGATTGAAGGAAAACAAATCAGCAATATTTATTAAGAAAATAGCATGCAAGGCTGTCAACATATTATTACACATGTAAGGCAGAACGCCTTAGAACTGTGCAGTACACAGTTAGAACAAAGCTTTAATAGTTTGCCTCATCCTCTGACTACTTTCTCATAGGCCCCCTCCCTTCCTGAAGCTGGGAATTTTCCTCTCACCATCCATACCTTATCTAAGGACCACACTTTCAAGATGTAGCTCAAACACTCATCCTTGGCCTGGTTCCTTCTTGTTCTCTCTTATCAAGGAGCAGTTCTCCTACAGTTACATACAGACAAATTTTCTCTTTAACCCTGCATTTGTAAGAACAAAGGAGAGACCATCTTCTCCAACAGTTGTACACACAACTCTGGCATTTTATTACAAAATCATCATGGCAACAAGGCTGAAGTTGCGTCTTTATTAATTAATACATATACTGGCTACTACTGGCATGGGTCCAATGGGCTTGCACCAAAATGAAACTTGAGGTCAGCCACAATAGTGTCTTGTAGAGAACACTCCTGGAATTACAGGTGCATGGTTTGCAGTGACCCTAAACATATTCTGTGGTACGCAGCCCCAGTTCCTTATTTGTAAGTACATTAAACAGCATGGTGCAAAAACAGTTCTGAGTTCTTACAAATCGATGGGGACAGTTTCCCAGACATGGATCTATCATACAAAAGTCCATTTGGTATGTAAGGATGCAGAAACTGCATTTCCTTATTTAGCACGCACTTCATTCTTGAAGTTTTCTGTGCATCAGGAAGTAGTAATTATAGTGCCTCTAGGTAGAGGGGCATGCATGCTAACAATCAGAAGTCTTTTTGTTTCTCTTCTTCCTTTGTTTCCTTAATGGATTTTCTGCTGTGATAAAAAAGATGGATGAAATGGTAGGAAACACCACCATCATGACATCATCTTCCCATGACCCCATAATAATTCATGAATAAGGCAGGCCAACTGCACAGTAGAAACCTCCTCTGGAAGTATCCCGATTAGCCAATTTCAGCAAAAACTACTGTACGATTATTCATGGATCTTGAAAGCCCTCCCACCTGCTTGGCCTCTTACCTGTCTGTTCATTTCCTTGACCCTATATTTTTGTATGTGGGGAGACAATAAGGCTGGACTTCCGGTCCTTGCTTTTTGTTGAGGGAGGAAAGCATTTGCCTCCAGACCAGGATGTGTGTTTGTGCAGAGGCATTGCAGAAGAATCCAGACTATTCACTTGCCCACCACCTGCCTTGTGTTGTCTGCCCTCCAGACTTGGTGGAAGGGGTGAGTGATGTAAGGCCATTTCTCACGTGCTCCTTCACCTGCCTGCCATGTTGTGCTTGGCTTCTGCATGTGTGTTGTGGGTATGTGTGCAAGACCAGCCTCCACGCCTTTATTTTGCAGGACAGTGGAGATGCAGAGAAGGCCAGTGGCTCTCATACTCACTTGCTCACCTGAGTGCATCTTGGTTGTGATGGGGAACAATATGGTAGGGGTGAAGGGGCCAGGTGTCTTGTTGTTGAGTTTCTCAGTGCCATCATGTGTTGGAGAAAGATGGGTCTTTGCATCTGGGGTGGACGTCTTGTTTTGAGGTTGCTGTTTGGTTTTCCTTGCAAATGTTGTTTTTGGAAGATTGGGCAGGAGGAAGTGCCCATGTCCTGCTAAGAAGCTTAATATTATTATTATTACTACTACTACTACTACTATTATTCTCATTTACTAATGTTTTGTTCTTCTCTGATTCATTACACAACCAGGTTTTATGACATTTGGCAGCCGTTTAAGAAATTCTGCCTAAGAACAGAGCAAGTTTAGGGCTTGGAGTCTTGATGGGATGGTTGGCAAAGCAACTTTGCCAAAAAGAAAGCAGTGTTCAGTCACAGTCGCAGCTCTTATTCGCATACTCAGTTATTCTATGACTGACTCAGGCACATTGATTAAACTGTAGACATGAATATATATTTCAGATTTTGCCCCAGGTGTGGCTTCAGAATTATCAGGGAATCTGCCAGTTTTTAAGCGTTCAAAAGCTGAAGCACAGTCCTGCCTTGACTGAATTGTACTCACCCCAGGCTAGCCCTTTTTGGGCCATGATGGCTCAAGTGGCAAACTGCCATGGCTGAGTCCAGTCAAGTCACTTGATCCCTGGGACAGACCTGGAGATGACTCAAGCTTCCTTATGCAGCGGCTTCCTCTTTCCAGAGACCAGATCAAATACCTGGGTGGTGTTTCTGCCTGGTTGGGGCACAGGGAGAGAGAGAAAAAACCCACTCCCTGGGGTCTTGATTGGAAACTTCAGGCACAACCAAATTAGAAGGAAATAAAGTATTAGCAGAAGAGTGTTTACCAAAGCAAGAGCAAAGCAGAGGATAGGCTAGAAAGAAAACAAACTTCTGAACTTTGAATGGGGAAACTGGAGCCTCACCATCCAATCCTTCTCAGAAGGGACCAGAACAAGTAGCACAGCCAGCTATGAAAAGCAATGCTGCCAGTCTCTAAGGAGCTAAACCACTGCAGCTTTTCCTCAGAACTAGCCAAGAGAGGAGGGTCAGCTGTTAACTTGGCCCAACCTGTGTTTTTCTGCATGGTTGTGACCTGTCCAGAAAGCTCCAGCTATTGGGTGGTACAGAACTGAGGCAAACATAATAACAACAAACCAATCACCTTAAAGAAGACTTGCCAGAAGAAACCAGGCAAAGGGAAACAAACTTACGCTGCAGCCCCACTCTGTTGAACTAACTTCATTTCCATACTTATTCCCAGTGCACGGCAAGCTCCAAATTTCTGTGACACTCCAAAGACTCAATGTCCTGCTCACTGTAGCATGAGAAACTCAGTTCATGCTGGTTGCCACCATGACCTCTTGTTTATTTCCCTGAAACCATTCTAAGCCATGGAGCACTAGGATTCCGCTACTTTGCATTGCAATTCCAGGCTACTTGAATCTAGGTGTAAATGTTCCTGCCTTTGCTGAAATGGTGACTTGCCCATAACTCCTTTTTTAAAATTAT